CAGCGACAGCGCTGGGATTTTCTATGAATTTTTTGACCTACGTGTCAATGATAAATATGTCGAGAAAAAGGAAAAGACTTTTAGATCATTAGATTCTGCATTCATTATACTATTGATTATAATATGTTCGATTTTACATTCCTGACAATTATTACAAAATGCGAGGAGCTACCGTATTGAGAACCCCTTTCCGGTTATCGACAAATTTATGCTCGGGCCCTATCATACCAACAGTTCCGTACGCTCCATCGTAGTCCATGCGCCACCGCTACGATTTTTGTTGTTGAACACATTACATTGGCCCTGTTCATCTCCCCTATAATCTCTGACCCCAGTTGTGGAAGTACGAACGGCCCCCCCCCCTTTTCCGCCAGCGATCGGTCATTTAGGGACCCTAGGGGGCAACCAGCGCTATTTGTGATGGAAAAAATAACAAAAATGCTTCAAAACAATTGCACACCATTGTTTATTCAACGATCTTGTCATTTCACACGTATCAATAATTTAGACTAGAATATTTCATTTATTAAAAGTATATTCAACAATACAAGTAGCATAAATGGAGACCGTACCAAAAGATTTGAGAGGCTTACGGGCATGTATGGTGTGCTCTTTAATCAAGGTCAGGTTTAACCTCTTCTATTCGTTACCATAATATTCTCAATGCACTCGTTCATGGTGATTTATAAAATTTTCCTTTTTGATTATTGAATTTTTCTCAGACCTTTGATCAATTTGAAATGGATGGTTGTGAAAACTGTGACGAATTCTTACGATTGAAAAACAACAAAGATAATGTATTCGATTGCACCAGCTCTAATTTTGACGGGTAAGTACACAATGATGATAAATTATTAATTTATTGACAACACTGCAATTAGAGAAATCATACACAAAAAATAAACCAGTGATTAATTTTCTACAAATTTTGGTGCAATAGATGGAACCAATTATGATTCATGTTCCTTCCGTTTAATCATTAGGATGATTGCAGCAATGAGTCCAGAAGACAGTTGGGTGTGTAAATGGCAGAGAATAAGTATGTCCACATTTTAATAAACAAAACTGTCTGCATTAATTGAGTATTTGGTTTGTGGATAAAACTGATCGGTTATTGAATAGGGGCGGGTGGGGCAAAATGGACAATCGAAAATGTGATCCTATTCAATTTTTAATCAAGACAATTTTCACCAGACATTTCCCAACAGAATCGTGTCGGTATCTTTTTATAGAGAAAAATTAGAGCTGAAAGAGATATCAACAAATAAACTTCATCTCTCTTAAATTTCGCATTGAAGTTTGAAATATAGAGTAGCTCTGGATTTCCTGTTTTACTATTGAAATACCTTTGAAATCATTTTTTTTTTCAATAAACAGTTGTACGCCCTACACAAGTGACCTTCCTCCATTTGCAAAATTTGTAAGATGATTACTTTTCTACTTACAAAGGAAATTACCATAAAACAATAGGAGGAGGGGAGGATAAATGAGCAAAGAAAAATTTAGTTTACGACCCCCCACGTCAAAAGTCCAAAATGAGTTTTTTTTTTCAATTTAAAAATCGCAGTCATGATTAATGTTTCAGAAATTGAGTAACATTGTGGAAACATAAATAATTGAGGAAGAAATCCAAGTGTCCATTTTACCCCGTTTTTGCTTCACCTTACAACTCCTACGATCCAGTCTTATGACAATGTGTTCGTTTTTATAAACTTCAAATGAAGTCGGAACAGTAGATTTAATCCTATTCAACTCATTATTTAAATCTGGTGTCCATATTACCCCACCCTCCCCTACATGTTAATTCGCTGATCAAGAATATTTAGACAAAAATTCAAGCACTCAGAAAAATTTTGATTTTATTTTTCAAGTGATAAATAGCATTATTGTTTTACTTTTGATAACAATTTTAGTCCCCAACCGGAGTTGATTATTCAGGAATAAAATGGACGATAAGGTGAACCGGCCAGTGTTCAAACTTGTCCAATGATCAAACTACTTTACATGCTTATTGTAGAAAAAATAATTTAGTGGAATGGAACTTTTATCCTCTTAAAAAACTAATATAATGTTCATAAAGTCAATGAGACCTTGCAGAACGTTTCCACATTTAATTTATTACTGAACCTTATTCGTTCAAACACTGGACGGTTCACGCTATGCAGGGAATGGCGAAGTTAGCATGAGGTTACATGGGACTTGCAGTTTAAAATATCTGTATTATTTGCCTCAGTACCCCAAGTTTTTCTCTCAGCTATTAGATTAGGCAGATTTTTCCACATAGCCCTCTCTCTCTCTCTCCAGTTTTATTTTTGGGGTCTTCTAATAGGTCAATTATCACTTTAAAAATAAATCCCATAAAAGCCCGTGCATAAGGAGATTTGTTCATTTCATTTGGTCAGAGCTGAATAGTGCTTGTTTCCAATCCAGTCCGCGATGTTTTCCCGAAGAGAACTATATATGACAAACTTATCCTTAAATTTTCAGATCGATTAAAATTTTTTTCACTGAGTTATGAATTTTTGAAAAATTTGGTTTTTTTCAAGCAAATTTTGATTGCTTGCCAAAACAGGACATAACTTGATGTCATGGTTGAGAATTGAATTCCTGTCTTTGAACATCAATAGACATTCGACAAATCTTCCAAATGAGACCAATTGAAGTCGAGTTACTTATGTTTTGAGGTCATTACCGTCGTATCAATTATGTTTTTCAATCTGCAATTACTCGAAATGCTCTTATTTTACTCTGAAATTTTCTGAGTATGTTGGGAATATAATTACCAATGATGATACTTCCGAAATGATGATAAGTTCTTTGCAATAGTTGTCTGTTAAATGAATATTTTCCTTTTTTCACTTTTTCTTTCTCTTTGAATACATCGATGGAAAGATTTGATAGGAGAAAAATGGGTATAGAATAAATAAAAATTACAGTAGTAAAGTGAGGTAAACATTAATGCAATTGAATTAATTAAATTAACTGTATATGAAAAATTGCCTTCAAATTTCAAAACCGTTTTTGTATACTGTATTGGTGAGTATAGTCTAAAACAAGAAAAAATGAGTGCAACAAGAGCTCTCTAACTCACCTATTGAATTTTTTTTTAATTCTAATTATGAGCCACTATTGACAACAACAAAATATTCAGTTGTAATACCTTTAAAATTATCGAATATTTCCCGAATGCTTCGTTGTAAACAAATAAAGGTGTCAAGTTCCGCAGAACGAGCGTATCAAGTTTTTCTGGAAAATTTCACACCCTCGTTTCATTGCAGGGAAGAAGGGATTGTGATACCCATGAAGCCGAGTCAAAAAATGTTGGTCAATATTGGCAAACAAAAACATGAGATATTATCAAATATAGATTTTTGAAACAAAGCAAGCCCACTGTAATACCTTAATAATAACAATATAGAGTATGACGGTGTTGCAATATCATTATTGATGTAATTTCAAAAAAATCTCATAATTCGTAACATTACAATCTATTTTTAAAAAATTGTCATCAGATCGTTTCACGAAAGGAGTCTACGCCATTTCAGTCTCCGGACGACTCCCCCCGAACATAATAAGAGACATGAAGAGTCGAGGAATAGTCTACAGACCAAGAGACACATCACAGAGATAAACTTACACACAGGAAAGAACGTTAGACTAATCATCATCGAACATTATTTATCGATTTTTTTTATGACGTTGAACATAGAATACAGTGATTGTGGCCTAGTAGGCGTTTCGAAGATTCTTTGTGCGTGGAACAGGGGAGAAAAACTTCAATTAGTAATCGTGAACTATCATAAGAGTACTTCGAGAGCTACAACACACAACAGTATAAAACCACAAGGTTTTTTCATCATCTCTAATGAACTAATAACAACAGGTCTATAAAAATTTACCATCAGATAAAGTGTTTATCTTTTCATTGAATGAATCAGTATGTTACTCTATCTCCTCTAAAAATTGGGCCAAGTGAAAACGAACATTTAAGTGAGACAGAAATTGAATTGATCCCAGAAATAAACAAAAGCTTAATACTTTTGTCTTCACTTTTTTATCTATCCTTTCTATTATTGATAACAAAAAAAAATTTTTATAAGACACGATTCATTTTGCTCTGAGGAAGCTAAAAATAAAAACAATTCAGCCGTGAAATGGTGGAATATAGCAAGTCGATCCCATACATCCTTTCATAGATGAAAATTTCTTAGATAATTAGAAATTTTAGGAGGTGAGAAAAATTCGTTCAAAACTTTTACCACTACGAAACAAGTTTGGACATTTTTAAAGAAATTATGTTTCCACGACTTACGACTTTCTCCCTACAGAATTTCAAACTGAATAAACAAAAAATAATCGATTTTAATAAAAAAAAATACATCATAAATTTTCCAATTTGTATAATTGCAATGAAAAATTTGTTTTTTACAGAAATATACATATAAAAAGAAGAGAAAACAAAAACAGAAAAAATGAGCATATTTCAACCAAGACAAAATTTTCTTGGCTGAATAACCTACAACGCACGATGAATCGTAATAATTTCTCTGCAAGACTTTTTAATTATACACATTGAAATGTACCTAGAGCAATTTCGCGGATACTTTTAATTATAACACGTTGAGGAAAATGCACTGGGTTGAAACATGACTGAAGATTTCTACATAGTTCAATTGGACACAATGATTTTTCGCAGGTTAGTATATCCATCTGCTTAAAGTAAAATTTGATCATGAATGCTTGTTAATTACATGGATGTTGATCCCTTCTTCACAAGCTAACAAATGTACGTTAATTTGAAATACACATCTACCCTTGCACCTTCATATGGATACCAAATAGTTTTGCACAAAATTCTGCAACACGGATTCAAATACACACATCGCATATTCAATTGCATAAAAAGTACAATTTGCATTTTCTAATATCCCATTTTAAATGTGTAAATCAAATTTCACAATACAAAATTCAATCTATGCTACTCCAACATGTATGTATAATTTCGACATATATAGTTGAAAAATTGAAATCTCACCACCCATCTTATCCGATTTTGATATTTTTTTCCCTTTTTGAATTACACATGTTGCAATTAAGAAGTATTGTAGAGAAGTTATTGCAATACCAAGAGATTACTGATCGACCATTAGACAAACTTTCGTGGAGAAAATACAATTGTAAATAATTCCAAGTGGAATTCACTGTGTGTTCTATTTCATTCATCCAAGATAATGCTCTGTCGGTGTTAAAGCATGCCAAAAAATGAGAATAACATAAAGTTGAGTAAAAAAAAATAAATATCAGATCTAATTGCCTCCAGCAGAAACTGTGTGAATTTGAGAAGGGTACTTGAGAACTGGCAGATTACTGTTTACGCAGTTTAACCAGAGATTCGCACACGTTGCATGATACGTGTTTTCATTGTATATTATTCTACCACTTGTTACTACTGTGAGACAAAGAGCACATGTGTTGGTTTCTCCTTGGTGGAGGGGCCATACTGGTAATTCCGTGACGATCTGAAAATTATGAAAAATAAAAACAGTAAATATTTTGAATTAAATGATTTTCCTCTAGGTTTGTTGTCTAATTTTTTTATATTCTCAGTAGCGAAATTCCTAAATTTTCTATTAATTTAATGCAACGAGGGAAATGCATATTGACGAAAATGAATATTTTCGTCACGAAGCTGGAAAAAACTTTTCGGACGAGTGTAAGGATTGCAGATCGAGTCACAACCGAGTCGTGTACTGCAATCACATAAGTCACAATAGTATTTTACCTAACGAGTTGGTAAATAACGTTTTTGGCGAGTGTAAGGTTAATCACAGTCATCAAAAAGGTCATTTACCACGAGTTATGTACATCTTTTTATCGCACAAGGTGCTGTAACGAGATTTTCTCGTTACGGGTTGAAATCCCCTCAAAAAGATAAGTGAACTCTCAAAATTGTTGAAGAGAGATAAGTAGCGACACCTAGAAGCGGCTGAAGAAAGCCGGGACTAGGTGAGGTAAACCACAAACCAATGAAAGACCTAAGGCATAGCGGTTATGGGTGAAACCGCGACCCCTGGAGGTCTGGAGGGCGTTACTTAGACTATCGCCGTATTAGAATTCGCCCAGCATGTGCTAGGGGAAATGGGGCCGACGTACAGGCCGTCCAACTGGGCGATTCTATAGGCTATGTCGGAGTAGGCTAGGGACCAACGGCCAGGTGAAAGGACTGGTACCTCCGTGATCCCGTCGGGTTGATTGGTGGGGATAGGGTAACGGAATGACCTATCGTCGCCGAGATATCCAGACTAGGAGGCAAGGCCCTAGTGAGATTCCGAGTGAGTCGCACGCGAGCGCTTGAACCGAGAGGTTGAAATAATCTCTCGGTGTGCTGGAAGTGGTGGATGGCTGAAGAAGCCATGGTAAGGAGTTTACTCAGCGTAGCCTGGTGCATAACTGTGGCGGCGAATATAGGGGGATGCCCCTGCATCCCCCGCGCGTAAATCTGAGTTATTTCGGAACGCGAGGTGACGACTTCGTCGTGTTCGGCGTCATCTAGTCTCGGCGGAACGATTCGAGGCGTATGGGCCCGTGGGCCTGGAGTCGAGAAATCCTCCTGTCGGTCCGACCATACGCCGACGGTCTAGTACTACCCGGAGGCAGTGACGCGCGATGACCAAAGCGGTAACTGGTGGTGGAGAGAGTGGGTGGTCGTAGCGTGGGTAACGTAGTTCCACCCTGGTCAGATCAGCCTCTCCGCGTCCCAGGCTCTGAGGAGTCCCGGCTGAATCGCAGGTAGCTCGGAAACCCTCCTGAGTAGAAATACTTGGAGAGAGGAAGCATGCCGGAGGAGTCGAGAGACCCGCCGGAGGAAAGATGAATCCCATTCAGTAGGGAACTTGTGCCGCGAGGCATAATTCACGGCTTGCAAAGGCCGTGGAATGTGACGGTAATACTCCTGGTGGACCTCGCCCACTCTACCGTATCACGCTGATGTTAGCTGGGCAACCCATTGTCCAGCCAAAAAGTCCTCTGAGTGGACGAGTTTGCCTCAGAGGCCGGTTTTCGTCGAACCTCCCGTGAAGGTTCGGCTGGCGCCCGACTATTGAGAGATAGAGACGGCTAAAAAGTAGTTTGGATTTTTCCTGGGTGAACAACCCGGGAAAATATCCTTACAGTGCAAACTGATGACAACTCACACACGGAAATTATTAGTTTACAAGATGGCGTGTGACAAAAGTATTTTCGACTGAGTGACGAGGCTAAATTTTCTTCACACCGGAGGACACGAAGTGTCCGTCAAATATCATTTTACGGACAAATTCGTAATATATGGTGCAATATTTTTCTGTGATATTCAAGAATGAAATCTTAATGATGTTTATTATATTTTATTCTAATGAAATAGAAGAAGGGCCAAGAAAAATTTAATAATTAATTCGTTTTCAACGTTGAAACTCATTAGATTGTGGAATCAATTGGCTTTAATCAAGTTCGAAGATTTATTATGCTTACTTACTGGAATGTTGACATAGAAAGGCTCCATTTCCGCCCAAATTCTATCGATATCCAACAATAAATCATCGAAACCCATGATATTTATATCCATCTCTTTGTGTGAGAAATTCACTCGTCTGCACACAGCTGCAACCTCTGCCAAGTTGCATAGGAAATTATATCCCTGAGCAGAGTTCAAAACTTCTTGTAGAACAGCTTCCGAATTTATACCCGTGAAGATATTCACCGCTAGTTGAAAAAGCAGAATACAGCTTTCCATGTATTGTTTCCACTCCCAATAAATTAACTAGAAAGTGAGAACAAAAATGTGTCATGTTCAATATCCAATCCCAAGAGAATTGTACATTTATTTCTCCCTTTAATCTCAACAGAACGATTTTTGTATGATTATTATTTGCAAATTGGAAGTATCGCTTGATAGTTTAAATAGTACCTGATGCATGCTCTCTGTTTCCTTCTCTTCATCACCATTATAAGGTAGAAACGATTTGAGATCTAGACTAGGTACCGAGCCAGAACGTGTTAATACTCCTAGCCCATTAGCGAGCTCTACACTATTTATTGATATCGTATCCTCTTTTTGGATGATCTTTTCTGTAATTCAAATAAATCACAAATGCAAAGTTAATTATCCCCTTTAACATTACTTCTCTCAGAAAGGAATTGTAATAGCAGAATTAAAAAAGGAGACACTTCAGACATTTTGCTTCTGAATGGAAGCCCTGTAATCGTTCAAATTTAAGTTTTCAATTTTTGTGTTATATCGATCCCTTATGATCCAAAAAGTTCGAAATAGTATATTTACGAACAATATTTTTCATCACAATGTGGCGGAAATTGGACTTTTAGGCACGCGGAGCGTGCCGAAAAGGTCGCTTTTCGTCACAGCGTGATGAAAATGCAATTTTCAGACCGTGTCTGTATGTGTTTTTTTTTTTTTTTCAAATGTAGGTATTGTTGTGCCCTATCGATTGCCATCAATTGAAATTTAATTCATCGATTGGTTTTTCTAATTTTTCAATTTTTTCGAAAATCGGTTGTCCCACGATAACTAAAAAAAATGTTCTGAAATGATTGTATGATGGCTTAAAGAATTTGCTTGGATGTCCCTTTGACCGAGTTCGAAGATGAATGCGATAGCAACAATCGTTGCTTTGAATTATTCGAAAATTTTCAAAAATTTGGTATTTTTTGAAAATCAGACTTTCGGGGATATCTTTGAATATCATGCTTCAAATGAATTCAATCACAGCTTGAAATGTTTGTGTTAATGCCATTAAGGAGGATGGCCACGGTGACGCTGCAGGAAAATTCTTTTATTCATTTTTTTTTAACTGGCAAGTTGAAGTATATGACAATTCAACAATTAACGACGCACTAAATGATGATTCAACAGTAAGGATATAATTTTATATTGACAAAATATTCACTTTTGAAAAAGTTATAAATTACTGAATGAGAGGCCTTTTCCCAACTGGTTCCATTGATATCACAGCTTTGGTTCATCTTAAACAAAACTATGATTCATTTCTACGAATGAGACAAGTGCATTTATCGTTGCACAGGCGCATTTAACACGAAAACAAAAATTGTCGTAAATAGAGCAATTATTCAATAAGTCCCGCTGCGCGCCCTCATAAGTGACAGCAACAACAACTGAAAAAAAGAGTAGGCTAGAGGTGAACTATTTTGTACAAGAATGATTTTACTGGAAAAAGTAGTTTTTGGATTATCGTGTGCCTTTCTCGGACGGACGGTCACATATAAAAGTATATGGTATAAAAGTATGAGTTCATTTAGTTTCCCCGGCTGACAATAAGCCTCGCGCTACGCGCTCGGGATTTTAATCTGCAAAACTGATCCCTCTCGCTGCTATGCAACAAAACATTCGGGAAATATCCGATAATTTTGAAGGTCTTGGAGTATTATAGCTGATAACATTCAACTAAGTTGAAAATCTGACAAAATTAGGTAGAAGGAAATCTTATGTAATTTAATACAATGGAATAAACAGTGAATTATATATGATAGAAGCAAATGATGTGCAAAATAACGATTCGGAAGTATATTGCTAATTTATTAACAAAAATAACTCTACTATATACAGTATAAGAGCAATTTCCTACTTGTTTATTCAATATTCGTAACTCAATTGAGCTCAGTTTGGACTCATTACAAAGAGTAAGCTTCAATGAAGACAAAAATTTCTATTTCATCAACAATTGAATAAATTTTTAACATTTGAAAAAAGTCTAACGTATCCATTTTGCCCCTCTACCCTTAGTTTTGTGCAATTTGATTCCATAAGTTTAAATAAAAAAACTCCCGCGTTATTAACCATTGAAAGAAGGGGCTTTCCCCTTTAGAATAATCCGTGTGCGTAACCCTGGTTTTTGTTTGATTTTTACGTTATTTCTTACCTCCACTCCCAACGAATTATACATAGGGTATACTCATTTGAAAGCTTATTAAATAAGCTTCAATTTGACACCTGGTTCATCCAATTCTATCGATTCCCCATTGACTTATGCGAATTTTAGGCGGAAATTGAGTTTTCACCTTTCATGTGAGAAATTAGCTATGGCAGTATTTTTTCGTACTTCTAGGTGGACTAGGTTGAAATATTTGTCAATCGTTTGCAAGAGTATTCTATAATCTTCAAAATAGTCTCTCATAATTGCGATTCTATAGGAACTTTGCGGAGTTATCGTGGATTATTACCGTTTCTTTAATTATGTCACACCGGAAAAACGACATATTTAATCAATTGTCATGGTTTTAATCTCTATAAACGGGGATGAATCATAAGTAATTTTAAAGGTCTCTTCGAGATCTTCAATTTGATCCGTCATATTAGTTATTTTATCCAGTAGGTAATTTGTTATGAACAATAATATAGTGATTTTAGCATGTCACGTTTTGGAATTTTCAATTCTTTTCATCTTCATGATGAAAAATTTTCCGTTCCTGCTTCAATGCCTCAGAATATTTTGTGTTACAAAGTGAGTATATAAAATTACCTTTGATTTGAAACCTGACCTGTCCAAATTGATCGATTTGTCTCCGAGTTATAAGAGCTTTGAGCAAGAAATCACAATTTCACGTTTTTTCTCTTAAAAGTGATTTTGACTACATTTTTGGGTATTTAACGTGGACCAAGTTGAACAATTTATGTATCATTTTGAAGAGTACTTTATTATCTTCAAAATGGTGTATGATAAAGCTGATTCTATGGCATTTTAGAGGAGTTATTGTAGCTTATTCCTGTTTCTTCCGTTATGTCACACCATAAAAATGTCATTTTTCATCAATTACTGTGGGTTTAATCTTCATGAGCGGAGATAGATTGTACGTTATTTTGAAGGTCTCGTTCAGATCTTCAATTTGATATCTGATATTAGTTATTTCATCCAGTAGGTAACTTGTTATTAACAATAATATAGAGATTTTAGCATGTCACGTTTTAAAAAATTCAATTTTTTTCATCTTAATGATGAAAATTTTTCCATTCCTGTTTCAATGCCTCAGAATATTTTGTATCGCAGAGTGAGTACATAAAATTACCTTTGATTTGAAACCTGACTTGTCCAAATTGATCGATTTGTCTCCGAATTATAAGAGCTTTGAGAAAGAAATCACAATTTCACGTTTTTTCTCTTAAAAGTGATATTGACTACATTTTTAGGTATTTAACGTTGACCAAGTTGAACAATTCATGTATGATTTTGAAGAGTACTTTATTATCTTCAAAATGGTGTATGATAAAGCTAATTCTATGGCATTTTCGAGGGGTTATTGTAGCTTATTCCTGTTTCTTCCGTTATGTCACACCGTAAAAATGTCATTTTTCATCAATTACTGTGGGTTTAATCTTCATGAACGGAGATGGATTGTACGTCATTTTGAAGGTCTCGTTCAGATCTTCACTTTCATACCTGATATTAGTTATTTTATCCAGTAGGTAATTTGTTATTGACAATAATATAGAGATTTTAGCATGTCACGTTTTGAAAATTTCAATTTTTTTCATCTTAATGATGAAAATTTTTCCATTCCAGTTTCAATGCCTCGGAATATTTTGTGCTACAGAGTGAGTACATAAAATTACCTTTGATTGGAAACCTGACTTGTCGAAATTGATCGATTTGTCTCCGAGTTATAAGAGCTTTGAGCATGTTCATGGTTTTTATCTTTTAATTGATTTAATTGATTTTGACTACATTTTTAGGTAATTTAACGTGGACCAAGTTAAACAATTCATGTATCATTTTGAACAGTGCTTTATTCTCTTCAAAATGGTGTATGATAAATCTGATTCTATGGTATTTTTGAGTAGTTATTGTAGCTTACTCCTGTTTCTTCCGTTATGACACATCTTAAAAATGACATTTTTCATTAATTATTGTAGGTTTAATCTTCCCGAACGGAGATATATTGTACGCAATTTTGAAGGTCTCGTCCGGATCTTCAATTTGATACCTCATATGAGTTATTTAATACAGTAAGTAATTTGTTATGGGCGATAATAAAGTGATTTTAGCAAGTCTCGTTTTGAAAATTTATTAAATTTTATATTCATTTTAATCTTGAGAATTTCTCGATTCCCGGTTGAATCTCTTAGAATATTTTGTATTTGAGAGTGAGTATATAAAATGTCTTTCAATTTGTCACCTGACTTATCCAATTTGGTCGATTTGTCTTTGAGTTATCAGAGCTTCGAGAAAAAAATTACATTTCCAGGTTTTTCTCTCAAAATCAGTTTTGAATAATTTTGAATCAGTTTGAATTTCATTTTTAGGCATTTAATGTGGATCAAGTCAAACAATTCATGTATAATTTTGAAGAGTATACTTCATTATTGTCAAAAAGGTGTATGACTAATCTGATTCTATAGCATTTTCACGGAGTTATTGTGAATTATTTCTGTTGTTTCCGTTATGTCACACCTCAAAAATGCCATTTTTCATATGTTAAATAGACATATATTGTACGTAATCTTCATTGAGACCTTCAATTTGATAGCTCATAGTAGCTATTCCGTCTAATAGGTAACTTGTTATGTTTGTTTGAAAATTTCAATTATTTTCATGTTAATGGAGAGAATTTTTTGGTTTATGCTCGATTGTCTCTGAATACTTTCTACTAAAGTGTGAGTCTATAAAATTACTATGGCCGAGGGTATGGCTCTTATTAAATATGAAACGATACATCAAAATTTGAAAAAAAATACATTGAATTAATTAAAAATGGGATTAATCAAGTGTTGTGTTTATGGAATAGGATTTCTGTTTATGCGACGAAGTGGAGCTCAAACAAATGAAGTCTGAGCTCCACTTCATGTTATTTGTTTAACAGAATTTAGGTTAAAGGTGAATCAACGAGGTGTAATTTGAACATTTAATTCAATTTTTCGATCGGTGAATAACATGATTTAACGCTCAATGATGGTGTCTCCATCTATTGTTTATGGAATATTATTATTGGATCAATAACAGTACTGCAGCGAGTTAAAAATTATCTTTCTTCAAAATCACATATCACTGAAGGAAATATGAAATAATGTGTATACAAATTTTGCGTCAGTGGAGTGGGTT